GCAACTTCAGTAAACGGCGGGGTAGTTTTGAATTAAATGCAGATAAGAGAATTGTCTTGGTTGAGTGGTTAGAGTACAGTGCTGTGCTCAGGAGAGCAAAAAAAAAAAAATGGGGTAATGAAAAGTGACTGGGAGCTTTGGTTCGTGGCACCTAGAATATTGCTGGTGCTCTGGCCCTGGGGGAGGGAAAGCTTTTTCTTTAAGCTCCTTGTGCGTGACTACAAACAGGCAGTCTCCAGTGCCCCTATAACCCTAAGCATTGAGCACCCAGTTAATCCTCCAAACATCCAGCACTTCCTCTGGCACTGAGGGGGAAGCATGTGATTAGGAGCTGATTCGGTGTGGACTGTAGCTTCTAGAGGTGCCAATCATCCTGAGACTGCTGCTGCCTCTCCTACCTTCTCTGTATATGTGAACAGAGACCACAGCCTTGATTTAAAACCTACTTGCTGGGGTGGGGGGTTCCTTGGCTGCTCTTGGGGCTAGAAATGACTCCTTGCAAAGCACGGATGCTTTGTCTGGCTTAGGTTCTCAGGTGGGGGCAGCTGGTCCTTCCAGATACAAAGCACACAGTGGAAGGTTATGTGCCTCTGGCCTTTTTGCACAGGGAGCTAGTCTTGCTTCATTCTCGGGCTTTCTGCATTGCTACAGAAGGCAGATGAAAAGTGCTGTCTGGTAGCACTGGGTTATATAAATGCTGGCTGCTGTGTTGCATATGCAGCACTGAATAGCATGTTAGCTGCCTGCGCTCTGCTTGTAGCAGGTTACCAACACATCGGTCCCACACACCGGGCCTAAGGGCATGACAGACTATATAGTGTGCAACAGGGAGGGGCTGCTGGGGGGACCACGCTTGCCTGCTGAATTAACCCATTGCACTTTTCTGGAGGGTGGAGTCTGGCTTTGCACTAACCCTTTGCACTAATACCTCTCCAACTCATAGCCGGCTTTATAAAGTCACCGCTGTCTCAAAAGAAACTGACTGAGGACAGCGTGGAATTGCACTGCGAGGCCATCGGGAACCCCATCCCCGAGATCCAGTGGTGGTTCGAGGGGGACGAGCCCAACGAGACCTATGCTCAGCTCTGGGACGGGGCGCGGGAGGACCGGGTCCAAATCAACGCCACCTACAACCTGCACTCCACCAGCAGCATCCGCATCGCCAACCTCACTCTCAACGACTCAGGCATCTACGAGTGCCGGGCCAGCAATGACCCCGACCGCAACCACTTGTCGAAGAGCCCCAAAATCAAGTGGATCCGTTCCCAGGCGAACGTTTTTGTCTTCGAACGTGAGTGGCCGTGCTGAGGCCTTGGCATTTGCTCAGACAGAGATGTCTTGAGTGTTATATTTTTGCCACCCTGCACCTGTCCTGTGACTTCCTGGCAACTCCCCTCACCCTCCCATCCTCACGGTAGAACTGAGAGACTCTTACCCTCCTGTGATCTCCCCCACCACCCGTGACTCCGCTCCGCAGTGGCCCTGCTCAAAAAGGGTTGTGGCCTCCCAGCCAAAAACGCCGTCCCGCAGTCCTGTCCCTTTTTGGAACCCAGACAACTCTTAGAACGCGCTGCTTGTCCCGAGACTCCTCGTTCCAAAGCTGGCTTGCAGAATTAAGGGTATTGATTCGGACCACTGCTGACCTACCAGCCCTTCCTTGCTGCTCCCATGACCAGTCTTGCTTTAAGCTCTCTGCCTTGCTAGTGATACAAGCTATGGGGGGGGGTGTTAAATTGCCTGTTCTTTAGCCTTCTGCCGATGCAACCGTTTTTGAAGCGGCCGTGTGTCTGACGTTGATCATGTGACCAGGTATTTGTGCTGTGGAAGTGACCAAATTCCCTTTGACTTACAGAGCTGAAAGTCCAATTTCTGAGCCAAAAGTTTTTTTTTTTTCTCAGTAGCAGAAACCTGGACGAATGCAGGGAAATCAAGTGATACCTTACTACCTAAGACGGTATCCTGATTCCTGGCATCTCTGGAACTGAGTGGCTGTAGCAGTCCCTCTGGATGGCTTCTAGATAACACAAACTCCAGCGGAAGAGACCTTCAGTTGGAGTTTGTTCTTGGTGCGAGGGGAAAACGAATGCCTTTCAGCCCTGTGACATGGTTTCTCTGCAGCGGGTAGGAGACTGCTTTGTTTTGTCATTTTATAGAATAATTTTACTAATGGCAACTACTTTCCCAGAGGCTTTTCTCTGAACAGAACTGTTTTCTTGAGCTGTTTGCTCAGTTGGTATGATCTTGGCTCTCCAAGCTATACAAACCCTCACTGAAGTCTTGGGGATTTTTGGGGTTTTTTTTTTTCTCCTGGCTCTTAGTGAGATAAACCCAACTTGGTTAAGTTTTTGTATGTCTTCTACTTGGACTGGTGTGAGTGTGTTGTTTGGTTTGTTTGGTTTTTGGTTTTTTTTTTTTCTCTCCCCCACCTTCAAAAAAGTTGGACTGTCATCCTCTCTCATAAGTGATGGCTCTTCAGTTGGTTAAATCATCACAGGATATAGGTGTTAATCAAGAAGCAGGGAGCTGTGCCTGGGGATTGCCAGTCAGTGTGACCTCTCTTCCATTGTGTGTTTGAGCTTTTGGCAGAGGTGGCTTGTGTTTTGCTGCAACCACTCCTGAGGCTCCAGGCAGTCTAGGATTGGCGAGGGAATGGGTGGGGGGTGATTCCTCCCATTGGGGTGGAGGACTAGGGGGGTATCTACCAAAGAATCACGCTGGGCAGACAGTTCTTGAGACCTGCTTCTGATGTCCTTTTGCTGGTGCCATCTCTCCTCGGAAAAACTGGTCGCTGGGTGCAGAGCTGCTGAAACAGTGATGCAGATCTCTTTGCTTAAGGTCCTGAGGCAGGTGCAGCTGCTGACCAGTCCTGTGAATGACTCTGTGCTTGTTCCCAAACATAGATCCCGTTATAGTCACCACTCCAAACGTGACGTCTGGCTCAGATGTCCAGCTGTACTGCAACATCACTGGGGCGGCGTCTGCCATCACGGGGCATAAATGGATTAAGGAAGAAGATGTCCTCCAGTCAGATGATACCTCATCTCACCAAACTGTCTACAAGTAGGTATCTGGAGTCTGGCCTGGGACTGTCGCTGGGAAGGGCCTTCTGTCCTAAACTGGATTGACTTCTGTACAGAGCATAACATGGCTTCAGGCTCTCTGCCATGTTGTGGGTTTCGGGAATACTTTCCGCTACAGTAGACGAGGCAGGCATGTTGGATTATAGTGAGCTCTAAAGCTCACAGCAACTTGAGATGCCTGGACTGAGTTTTGGTTGGACTCTGGCGTCCTCGACTGGGCTAAGAGTCAAGGTGGGGGCATGGTACTGCAGTGAGGGACTGATTAGCTTGGGAACTGAGGAACCTGTGCATCAGTCCCATCTAGGCAACTTTCCCTCCATTGAAAGGACTGGGCTTCACTTGCTGGGGAGAACATGGTGCTTCCCAAGGTAGGCAAGGAGCCCCTTGGATGAGAGATCCTAGGAGATATTAGCTGGCCCCAGATCCCTTCCTTGCTTCTAGCATGGTGCCCTGAAGTGCTGGGTGGCTGCTCTGCTAGTTAAGGGTCAGTGCCTAAGCCTTTATTCCCAGGCTGTGGCTAAGCAGGAACCAGAATACCAGCTCCATTGTAAGGGTGCAGTGAGCTTTTCATTCCCATTAGTCAGGCCCTGTTGGCACTGGCCCAGTCAGCTGGAGAAGCATCGTGTCCTTTTATATGGCACAGCCGACGTGCACCTCTCCCCATAGCAACAGGGAGCTGAACGAGGATTAAAGTATTTATAACCCAGCCTCCTTCGTGTGACCTCAATTCCCATGCTCAGAAGGGGGAAGCTCCATGTGCAGCAGAATGGACAAGCACCCCATTGTGTCCTGGCAGGCGGGGTGCCCAGTCTGCCCTGCTGTGGGGACCACTGCCCTGCAGCTTCCCAGCACGTACCAGGTTCTGCTAAAACCGGCCACAGCAAACCTTCGTGCTCTGGGATCAGGCTGTTACTTCATGCTGATCCTTAAAGCCACTACATAGCGCCATGTGCCTCCTACCCAGCATGGGCCTTCCCAAATGGGAGTTGTTCTACCACTCGCCTCATTGACTTCTTTTTTTTTCTCCTTGTTCCCCATTTTCTGATAACCACCCGGAGCCTCGAAGCCTGGGTTAATGGCTTCTCTTGTTACCAAGGGTACTGCCAACATCTGCCTCCCATCAGAAGTGAAGTTTTGCTCTGCCCAGTGGTCAGTGTTGTTTGGAGTCCCTGCTGCTGTATGGAGGGGGCATGTAGAGGGATTCTGTCTGTTTGGGGTTGGCAAGTCCTGCCCATGCATTCGTGGGGTCTTGATAACCACGCTTTCAGAACCAGGTCTGGTCATTTGTGCCCTCTGGCAGGGAAAAGGGATGGGCAGGTGTATTGGCTCTTTGGCTCATAGCACCCAGAATTCTTGGATGTGTAGGCCTTAGGAGAAACCAAGCTTTGTTCCTACCTTTTGGGAAGCAAAGGGGTACAAAGCAGATGTGTGCTTGATGTCAATGCACCACTGACCAAGCCTAGTGATGGTTGGGCTGCCTTTACCACACGACACCGATTTCCAAAGTCAGCCTGGTGTCCAGTTCCCTAACACCAACAACTATCAGACATCTCTGGTGCACCATTCTGCTTAAGCGGGAAAGTTGGCCCCTTTTGATAGGAAGCTGGGTTGATCTCCCTCCTGCTCGTGGGCCAGAGCTTGGGACTGTGGAGTCTCCTGCTGCTGCTTGGGTGCGAGTCTGTTGCATGTTCACATCTCTGCTCCTCTCTGTCTCGTTGCAGTCTAAATGAGGTGAATACCGACACCTCTGGGGAGTACGTGTGCCAGTTCCTGACCAACCCGCCTGCAGAAGGGATTGTGTTTGTGACAGGTAATGTCTAGTGCCTCCTTGGAGCTAGGGAGGAGGGAGAGACTGGACTCTATCCAACAGTTTTGTCCATCATGCTAAGAGCCACTTCCAGCAGCAAGTGGGAGATGAAGGGAAAGGGTCTCTTCCTACTGGCCTCCTCTGATGGGCTCTTGGGACTTGAGGTAGGTACCTCCAAGCCTTCAGAGTGCCGCAACTGCAGGGGGGAGGCTATGGAGTGGCTCAGTTCAAAGCCCCCCAAGCCACCCTCCTGCTCTGGAAGCAGCCCAAGTGCTTGCTCAAAAATGCTGGACTTCTTGAAAGAGTGAAAAGAAGCAATAGGCTTCTCAGACTTTGGGACCAGGCTTTTGTGTGTGTGGGGGGGGGGGGGGCCTTGCCTGGAAGGCTGGCTGGCATTCTACCTTCAGCCATCCAAATCCCATGTCCCACATGTCTCCATACAGTTAAGCCACACGTGCTGGCATACAAGAAGTCTGAGCATGGGAACGAAGGCGACACAGGGGTGCTGGTATGCAAATGCAACTCGTATCCTTCAGTCACTGAGTGGACCTGGTACAAGAAGGAGAATGACCACTACATGGTGAGTCTGTTGCCAGGAGCCTGCTTGCCAAAAGAGACAGGTGGGCAATTTATTCCTCCTCTGCAGCAATAGTCCCTGGAGTGGGAAACCGTATGGTGAGGCAAGGCTGAGCCTGGGAGGAGCTGCCCCTAACTGCTCCCGGCTTCCCCCTCTAGCCCATTGTCAACAGCACTGAGGGTCGGTTCTTCATCAAGTCCTCTGGCAACAGGACGGAGCTGCGTATCGTCCCCCTGGATATTGAGAAGGATCCAGGCGAGTACATCTGTAACGGCACCAACGAGGTGGGCCAGGACGGTGCCACGGTGAGCCTACGGGTCCGCAGCCGCCTGGCCGCGCTCTGGCCCTTCCTGGGCATCGTGGCTGAGGTGCTGGTTCTCGTCACCATCATCTTTATCTACGAGAAGAGGAGAAAGCCGGATGAAGTCCTGGATGGTAAGAGGCACCGGGGGCCAACTTAGCCTGGGGCTAGGAGCAGAGTCCAGCTTGGGGACCCTGGAATATGTGGGTTGAACAGCTTTGCCAGCTGAGTTCCCTGGGTAGGAGTTGGGGTGCCCTGTTCTTTGTCTCTAATAATTCCCATCTGTTCCAAGTGCCTTCTGTCCCAACCAGTGGTAGATGCGCCTCCCCTTAAGGGCTTCACTGGCTGGTAGAAGAATACAGCTCTTGAGCTAAGCCAAAAGGGTGGGAGTGAGGACGTTGCTTTGCTAATGCAAGTGTGGCCTATGGGAATTGGCTCTGTATGGGGGACAGCAGCTTGGCGACGATGGAGAAACCCTGACAAGCTCCTGTCAAGGGGATTACAGGCCCACTGAAGTGCTGGAAGCCAAGCCCTGCATTTGGTGGCAGTCTGGGCCTGTCTTGGAAAAGGTGCCTCAGTTCTGGGCTCTGACCCAGTGTTGCAGGACCCCAAGTGCGAGCTAGTCTGAATATTGTTTCCATGTTTGTTGGGTGGGGAGTAGAGCAGGCTCGTGGGAGGGGGGGCAGTGTTCCCTCCCTGCCCTCCGGGAAGGAGAAAGGTGCACCAATGTGTAGGTTCAGTGTCCTTGCTGGCATTATCTCTCCGCTCTCTTCCCTCCTCTGCTGCTGGGTGGTACCTCGCACGGTAAGTGGAAGAGCTGGCTCCAGCTGTCGTCCTGCATCTGTCCTCACCAGCAGTCAAATCTGTCAGGCACCCGTGGTGGCCCCATTGCACACAATCTGGGTCACCCAGTTGACACATGGCTCTGTGGAAACAGTGGCCTAGAGTCCTGTTCCTGTTAGATCACAGTGTGCTGGTGAGAGGTCTGAGCACCCCGACTGACTGACAGCAGAGGGGTCTACCCCTCGCTCTGGTGCTGTCTGTAGAGCCAGTGCATGGTGTGCTGTGAGTCTTTGGCTTTGGCAGAACATAATGGGCACAATATGCCTTGGGAACTTCAAGCTCCCCGTCTCTCCCGCATCCTTTGCTTTCTTGAAGGTCTCCTGCCTGGATTAATGGTTGTTGGTCTCAATTTAATCAGGTTGCAGCCCTTAAGATGGGAAGTAACGAATTGCAGCTTGCCTGCTGACTTGCGTGGCCGGGGCAGGCTCCGTGGCTTGGTTCTGCTTTGAGAGAATATAGTGGGAGGGGAACAAGCTGGAGTGTGTCTGGCATGCTGGGAAAGCAGAGGCATCTTGCACCCAGGCCTGAGTGGAGGACTTGGCAGGGACCCCATGACAGCCCTTTTAAGAGAGGCAAGATCTGCGTTAGGCACAAGGAGAAAGTGCTGGGCTGCTCTTCTCCCTGGCAGCTAAGCGCGCTATGTGCTAGGACGGGCAAGCCGGGAATAGTCACGTGCTTGTGCTGCTTCTGTCTCAACATCCCACTGTACGAAGGGGATTGTGTGGGGGACTACAAGAGTTCTTCGGGACTGTGATTCTGCGTCGAGGAGGGGTGATGCAGGATTTCCCGGAGACGCTTCCTGATGGTTTCTTCTCCTTCTTTGCACGCTGCTGCATACCCAAAGATGACGATGGAGGATCTGCACCGCTGTGAGTACCTTGTTTTCCTGCCATCTGCTGACACAGGTGGCTGCTTGGCATAAACACTAGCCTGTGCCAGGGGAGTGTAGTGGCTTCTATAACCCATAGCCCTAAAGTCCTACTTGTGCTGGCTCTGGGAACAGTGCAAGGGAATAGCCAGAGAGGTGATGGAATTGCCATCCTTAAGACCTGGCTCGACAAAGCCTTGGCTGGAATGATCTAGTTGGGGTTGGACTAAATGACCTCTTGATCCCTTCCAGCCCTAATTTTCTACAATCTCAGCTGTTCCTTTCTTCCAGGCTCTCCCTGGGTGGGGAGGGTTGTCACCTTATCCCACCCTGTCAGTGAAGCAGGGTGGGAGTTGACTGGCAGAGAAATGTCTTTGTTCTCACGGCCTTCTCTTCCTCCAGGAAAAGCAATGCCACAAATCACAAGGACAAGAATGTCCGCCAGAGGAACGCTAACTAAGAGTGGGCAGGCAGGTGAGTTGTGGTGGCTGCAGGGAACAGTAGCGGGGGCTTCTTCCTCCCACCCAGTGCCCAGCCTTTGGCTTTGTTGGCTGTTTTAAGCCACTCTCCAAAGTACATGTGACCCCAGTGCTGGGGGTTGCCATAGGTTCTTAACTTGCAGGCTTCAAGGTGGACGTGAGCCTGGGGAAGGGTGGGGGGTGAAGAATCCTTCCTTTAGCACAAAGCCCCTTCCAAGGAAGTGGCTGTGGTCTTATGGTGTGTATCTGGGAAGCTAAGAGGCTTGAAAGAATAGCTTTCCCCCCCCACCCCCCTTATCTTGGGACCTAATAAAGCAGAAAGCAAGATATTGGAAACCATGACTTGGGACTGACAGGGCTGATGGAAAGTGGTAGAAGAGGTGTGTTCATAGCACCTGGGCTGGACATGGGGGGGCGGGGTGCACGGGCTAGATACCTTTTGGGGCAGACTGTTCCCATCTTGGCCTTTGGGGTGGGCAGGTAGAAGGATTCCTCACCATTTTTGCCGGGGTCAGGAGTGTGAAACCTGAGCCAGGGACAAAGCCCCTAGCTCAGCGGTACAGTCCGAATTGCTGGCAGGGCTGGAAGTAGAGTGCCAAGGCAGTCCCCTCCATCTCAAGGCAGCCTTCCCTTTCTCCATGTCTCTCAGATGTCTGTAATGCCCTGCCATTGCTACTTCAGCCACGTTCTGCCTCACCTTCTGTCTTGCTCTCTCCCCACACCAGGTGATGCAGCTGACGAGCTTGCCCAGACATCCCTTCTTGTCTTGGATTTTTCTTTTTTTTTTGCGAAGTAGCCCCAGACTGCTCTAGCGCATCCTTGGGACTCCACCACCGCACATGGGGAAGAAACGCACTGCAGTTGTAAATTCTCAAACACACTTTTGTAGTATTTTAAAGAGAAGAGTTGTGGGAGGGTATCTTTTTTGTTTGTTAGCTTTTGTGTCCCTCTTTTCTACCCCTAACTCAACCCCTTCTGCTGGTAGTCTTGATCACTTGTTCTAGATCTCAGTGTTTTGTTGGAAAGAGGGGAGCAAGGGTGCCAGCTGCTGTCCTGTTGGCTTTCTGCATTGTGCAGAGCTAGTGGGGAAGAGCTGAGACTATGGGTGCTGCACCTTTTTTCCCTTGACATTTCCCCAAGATAGGGGTGGGGGATGAACCCACACGAGGAACTAATAAGGCAGGAAGCAAGGTAGCAACCAGGCAAGCATGCATCTCTCCAGCTGTGGCTCATGTGCCCAGTGTTCCCAATACACACACCCACCCCCCCACCCCCGGTCCAG